GAATAATAAGAATAATAAAGGCTTTTTATAACTCATCTAGTTGTATTATTTAATCTAATAATTTTATTTAGTAAGATAAAAACTACACAATTTCTTATAAAAACTAGGATGAAATTTTTTTTTTTTTTGATAAGTGCAAAAATACCATTTGTGTTTGCTATTCTGACAAACTTATAAAAATCTTCCAATTTGTTACACACAATCCTGTTTATATTTGTGCACAAAATACTCTTTGTTGAAAAATTATTTGTTTAATTTTTAAAACAAAAACATTTGAATGACCCATTCAAAGAAAATTATCGTTGAATACCGGTACTCCAAGGAACTAAACAGGTTTTGTTAAAATTCAAATAGTTTGATGACCCTCAGTGATTTATCTTATTGCTACCTTGAAGGCCCTGGTGGCAAAAGTAATGAATTCCATTTTGATTGGTTTGGAGAAAAATTAGTTTAAACTTTTGTATGTCACTTTGAAATATTTAATATATTTATTTATGATTAAATCTTTTCATTTCCATTTGAACAATATTGAGTAAGAGGAATGATGAAGGGGAAGAAATTAAATATATAAAGCTGGTCTTAAGTCATTTAAACAAAATACAACTTACATACTTTTACCACTAAGTCTTTTAACATTTCTTTGTTCAAATGTCAAAGTCTTGGGTTTAAAGAAAAATTAGAGATTGATTCTGCCTTGTTGGCAATTTTTGTCCATGTATCATAACTCATAGATCAAAGAAATCAAATATTTCATAGGATGTGCCACTGAGTGCACTCAGTATTTATTGCTGAAGAAAATTATGAATACTTATACCCGGAGTCGGTTGTAGTCAAAAATTTGTTTTTGTGATTTCCAGGTTTGTCCAGCATTTTAAAACAGATTTCCAGGAGGGTTTGAACAAAATATTGAAACCGGAGGAACAAGATTGGCTATTCACTGTGTTGAAAAGTGAGATGGAGGCAGATGAAAATTTTGTTCTGCAGAAACTGAATTTTCTGAGTAAGCTTGATTAAAACTAAATGCATTAATAAACCTTGCTAGTAAAATACAATATCTTTGAATTCAGTTCATGTATGATTTATGATGTCTCTTCTACTCATACAAAATTAAGGGCAAGCTAAATGCTCTTATTTATTAAACACTCTCAGTCATCCTTCTTGCTATGTGGACAGAATCATTAAAATTCAAAATATCATTAAAAATGAATGTCCATGAAATAAACTCGCACTCAAAATAACCATTGATACAGGTCACAAAAGCGGGAAAAATGTCAATAGCTTCAAAAATCTTGACAACAATGGAGACTGCTTGGTTGTGGTATGAATGAGGATTATAATGAACAGGAAAACGTAGCAACATTAAATAGCAATTTCAATGGAAAAGAAAGCCTAAATGTTTTGAAATGAAATGCCATAGAGGGGTTATCAGACACCATGTGTGGAATAATGATCCAATTGAGATATTTGAGAATAAAAATGGAGGGTATTTACAGGGAAGGGAGAATGGGCACCCATGACCACAGTGGACATAAATCTGCTGCACGTGACACAGTAAGGACGGCTGCCATAAAATCGATTGGCTTAAAAATGGTCAGTGAGGAAAATGCTCAACAGAGGATATTTCAGGTTGAAGAGGGTTTCTCCCTCACCCCATCCCCCAATCAGCATCTTTCTGTTCTTTTCTTTTACCAGTTTCAATAAAAATTTATTAATATTTGGCTAGTAAAGATTATGTTTATTTAGAGTAGGTAAATGTTTTTGTTCTTTTAGATAAAACAAAACAACTTTTTAGAAACTTTTTAATTGATTGGAAAGTCAGTTAGTTATAATTGTAATTACTAGTTTGAGATTCAACTATTTTGGTTCAATAAAAACATATGACGTCATTTATTATGTAAACAAACTGTTTGCTTCAGATTTTTATTGAATTGTGTCCCATTGCAGCTTTTTGCAAAGTTGAGGGTGAATACTGTCCTATCTGGCAACGTGTGAAAGATCAGGCCAGTGAAAGCTGGTCAATCAAGGAAGTCTTTGACATGAATTCATCAGTAAGGGTGGATGCCATTGAGAACTTGGGTAAAATTATTTTATTTTTCTCCAGGAAAGCAATGGGTTAATATAATATGTTTTCTTATTGAAACATTTACTTTTATTTTTTTTGAACTAAGATAGATTTCAAGTTCTTTTTAAAAGTTCACAGACCTTTCATTATCCTTAGCCTTTGCTTTATGCCCTATCATTAAGAGATCCTTTTTTTCTTCATTTTTAAAAATTTGTTAAACTGCTTAAAGACATGGACTAAAAGGCAATTGACATTAGATTGCATTTTAAAATGTTCCAAGTTGTCCAAGGAAAGATAAAGAAACAGTTTAAAACTGCTGAAATTCTTCTCATGTCAATGCCTTGTAAATGCAGGTTGACAGGGAAAAGTAATGACAAAACAAGAACCCTGTCACCGTAAAAAAAAAGTGTTTATTGAAAGATATGACAGATTTTGAGCGAAGCAGGACTTTTTGGTGCTGCCGTTTTGGCGCGATCGTTTTGGCAAAGGACATTTTGGCGCCATTTAAAAATAACTTTTTTATTTAACTTAATGTTTATAAACTTTTAATAAAGAGAATGCAAAATATATAAATTAAGAAACGTTTAAAAATAAATTTTTATTGAACTTAACGTTTATAAACTTTTAATAAAGAGAATGCAAAATATATAAATTAAGAAACGTTGAACGAGTTACTATCTGATCTAAACTTATCGAACACATAACAGTATCCTTCGTGATTCAACTTTTCTTTACCACACTTCGACGTAACATTTTCCATTTTACTGGAATAACAGAATTATAATGTGTGATATATTTATGAAACTCTACTTACCTTACGATTTTAGTCTAGAACACTCTTGCACTTTCATAAATGTGAAGCGCACGCATGATTAGGCAGGAATGGTAAATAATGGCTTAGGCCATCTGTGCGCCAAAATGACCTGCGCCAAAACGGCTCTGCATCAAAACGGTCGTGCCAAACCGGTGGCGCCAAAACGTCAAAACATACCGGATTTTGAGTACCCAGGGAGCAATGCTACAACAGATGACCATTGTGGTAAATTTCTGCAAAGCAAGAATTTTGATTGTTCACACCCATATTGAGCTCAACAAACCTGATGAGAATCCACGCTGAGGCCAGAATTAACTAAAAGCAGTGTCTTAAGTTATCCTGTATATGGATATGAGTACTTTATGAGCACTAGTGCATCAGAAAGGAAGCTGGAAGAATTGGAGGAAACTTCTGGCCAAAGTTTATCTCCAATGAAGAACTGAGAGGCTATTTTGGAGTGACCACCCATGGAGGAGAACCATGTAGGCATACCACTGAAGATGGTTAGCTGATATCTTTAGAAATCCACCAATCACACTTTCCAGGGCAGCACTCACAGCAACAGCCCCCGCAAATAAAACTACGTAGACCCAAAGATAGAAAATACGGCACAAAATAGAAAGCTCCCCCTGCTGACAGATCCCACAGAGTAGACAGAAGTGGCCACCTTTGGGTATGGGTGCATGAGGACTGAATGGTGATCATTTAATAACTAAAAAATATGTCTCTGTTCCCAGGAAAGTTTCGTAGTCCAGCAGTGATTGATGCGCTCTGTGATCTGCTGTCTGACCAAGATGCCAACGCCAGAGCTGTGGCAGCTATATCCCTGGCACGTACCAATGCCACTGACCCTGTCACGGCAAAGAGTTTAATGAAGATCCTGAATGACAAGGACAGGTTGGTCAGGGAGGCGGGGTGTTTAGCACTGGGTCATCTTCGTGTCAAGCAAGCGGTCAATAAATTGTTAAAACTGTGGTAAGTAAAATTGGGGACAAATATGAAAACCAGTTTAAAAAATTATAGTGCTGAGGATTTACAGAGACTTTAAGATCAAGGATCATAAATGGCTAACAAAATTATACACATTTACCAAAACTGTTACTAATACTAAATATACACAACATAAATTCAAAATCCATTATAGAAAAATCAAAGCTAAAATTAAGTAGAGCGTTCATGTGTGTGGGAGGGGCGCAGGCTTGTTCATTAAAATTGTTAATGGTTTTACTAATCAGCGTTAATTAAAAGTTCAAAACTAAAGCTGTAAATGTTAAAGTAAGCATCTTAAGTCATGCAATGTATCTAAAAATAGTAAGGCTACTGATCAAATGGTGAACTTGCCGCTTGGGCTAATGCAAAAAATACTTGTGATTTCCTTAAAGAAAACAAGATTAGTTTGTGACCTTTGATTCTATAAGACAGGAAAAAGGGGAAGGAATTATGGTGCTAAAAAAATATGAATGTGGATAAGAATAAATTAAAATGAATAAAATTAGATTGATATAGTTTTATTAATTAAGAACTGTATTTATATATCTATAATGCTCACAATTTGAAAATGTTCAGGTGTACAATATTGCTCTGATTAAACTTCATTGCCATAAAGAATTTACCTTACCAGTAAAGAGACAAGATAAAAGGGGATATGTACACAATTTTTTAGTCAAAATAACCAAAGTTAGTTAATCTCGTGTAATGAATAGTCTGACATTTAAGAAATCATTCGATTCTATTTCAAAGTTATTTAATTCCCAGTAATGAACAGGGACATCTAATAAAGCATCCGATTCTGTTTCACAGGAGGAATGATGTCATATCCCATGTAAGGGAGGCAGCCAGTGTTGCTCTGAATCAGATCGGGGGCCCGGAAGTTGAGAAGGCGATGAGGGTAACAAAAGTGTTGGCTGATGAAATCAGGCAGCTCACGCGTTCATAACTGGAACAGCAATAGGATTTTAAGATTGCTGAGATCCTATGCAAAGTGTAGCACTACGTCACGCAGTACATGAAGTAAATGCTTTTGGCATCAGGAGTAAACAGCTTATATTTTGGTCTGGAGCATTTCTTTAGAATTATCCTTAATCCTTTTTAAAACTAATGATACAAGTGTTGGACATTGATAAAGTTTTCCATACCTTTCCAATACACCATTCATATTTTTAAAAAGTGTTATTCAGAAATGTACAAAGTGCATCACATGAATGCGAAAAGTGGATTCTAAATTACAGTGCAACATATTGGGAAGGTTGATGTATTTTTATATTGGCAAATACAGCAATGTATTTTTTTTTAGGATATTATAATGTAATTGTTAGCTTAATAGAGCTGCCAAAATTATTGACCATTTCATATTCATGTTTTAAACTTCCAGTGCTTACAAAGATGAAATTTTTAGCAATTGGTAATTAAAACTGCCATTCAGCTCCTGTATACAAGGATGGTGTATGAAATTTATATTAAGCATAACCTTATATGTTAAGAAATCTGGTTCTGAATGTAATGTTTAAAAATTTGATGTATCTGATGATTCAATTTAGTTATTAAGTCTTTGTTGAGTCAGAGTAAGTTGTTGTGCCTTAAAATCATAAGAATCACAGTATTAACACAAAGGCCAGTCAGAGTAAATTGTGTCTTAAAATCATAAGAATCACAGAACTAACACAAAGGCCAGTCAGAGTAAATTGTGCCTTAAAATCATAAGAATCACAGAACTAACACAAAGACCAGTCAGAGTAAATTGTGCCTTAAAATCATAAGAATCACAGTATTAACACAAAGACCAGTCAGAGTAAATTGTGCCTTAAAATCATAAGAATCACAGTATTAACACAAAGACCAGTCAGAGTAAATTGTGCCTTAAAATCATAAGAATCACAGTACTGACACAAAGACCAGTCAAAGTAAATTGTTGTGCCTTAACATCATAAAAATCTCAGTACTGACACAAAGGCTTACTGACATAGTCCTAATCAAGGAGCTATGTGTATCAGTACAATTGATTATGATAAGGAATGGTCGTCCCATTCAGTTAATTAATTCCTTTTATTTGGAAAAAGAAAATTGCAGTAAAATTTTGTAAAAAAACTTTCAAATGAGAGTTGCATGTATCTTTAATCTGTCTGAGACTTGTACTAATTCCCAAGTGAAGCACAATCTGCCGATTGATTGGGGAAAACTTTGAAAATTTGAGGTATAAACTCCCAGGTCTCTCCTGTAATCAGTATTGATAAATAATTCAATAAATCAGTTGCAAAAAATTTTGTGCTAAAATAAAACTTTTTTTTTATTTATCCAATTTCTTTCCATTTCGCTTTCAAAATGTGTTCTCTGACCTTGATCTTTGATGACCTTGATCTTTGATGACCTTGATCTTTGATTATGATATTTAAAACTTCTTACAAAGCTGAATTTTAAACACTCATGAAATGGCTTTATTTTGTCTTGTTGAATATTTTAAAAATTGAAAGGTGATCTCATCATACATTGAATAAACCGTTTTTTTTCCAGAAGCCACAGTAGCAAGAAGATTCTGCAGTTTGGAGAAAAATAACTATTTAACCTGAGGATAAACTGTCACGATAACAACAAATTTTGTTCATTCTACTAAACCATAAGCAAATAAGCATTTTCATAAAAAGAAGTATTAGAATTTTATAAATTACTGCACATTTTGCTGAAGAATATATATTTGAGTAGAGGCTCATTATTTAACATTTTCTTAAACGTAGATCACTTGTTTTTTAATTATTGTTTTTTTTATATATATATACATTTATTGATGGTCACTTGTGATATGAAAAAAAAAATTTATATTTAATCTGTTACATATACATACATATATGAGTTGTAAGTTTAGGTGTATCTTCTATTTCCAAATACTAAATTTTGCTTGACTAAAAACATACTGTATACATTCATTCATGGTTTTTGCTCATTAATTATTAATGCTCTTGTAATAATAACAAGTGTAAAAGAAAAGATGTTATACTGCTCCATGACATTTTTACCTCTTTTAACATCAGCTCAATTTTAAAATTCTTATCAAGGATTTATATTGTTACTTCATTCATTAATTTAATCAGATTTCTAACCTCTTCAGACAAGTATTAAATACTCCATCTAAAAAATAAGCAAACCCATTTTTACCCAACAAGGGAAGCAACTGTGTTTATAGCTAAAATCGATAAAGTTCAACTCATGAAAACAGTGGTAAATTTTGAAGGGTAATGTTGCTATAATATAACATGTTTTTATACGGTATTAAAATATATTTGTTGTAACTTGTGACCAAAAAAAACTATTTTCATTTAAACTGTGATTATTTATTTATTGGTATGGATATATAACATATCATTTGTAAGTTTATATTTATCTTCTATTTAAAATAAAGAATTTTACCTCTGGTACATATTATCATTTATGTTTATAACCCATTATATTAAATGATTTTTCTTTGAAGGAATTATTTACCTTCACAAGTTAGTTAGTCAGGTTACAAGCTGGACAGTTGAACTATGGTAAACATGCATAAGCTGGACAGTTGAACTATGGTGAACATACATTAGCTGGACAGTTGAACTATGGTGAACATAAATAAGAGTGACAGTTGAACTATAGTAAACATACTTAAGTTGGACAGTTGAACTATGGTGAACATACTTAAGTTGGACAGTTGAACTATGGTGAACATACATTAGCTGGACAGTTGAACTATGGTGAACATACATTATCTGGACAGTTTAACTATGGTGAACATACATTAGCTGACATTTGAACTTTTGTAAACATACATAAGCTAGACAGTTGAACTATGGTAAACATGCATTAGCTGGACAGATGAACTATGGTGAACATACATTAGCTGGACAGTTGAACTATGGTGAACATACATTAGCTGGACAGTTGAACTATGGTGAACATACATTAGCTGGACAGTTGAACTATGGTGAACATACATTAGCTAGACAGTTGAACTATGGTGAACATACATTAGCTGGACAGTTTAACTATGTTGAACATACATTAGCTGGACATTTGAACTATGGTGAACATACATTAGCAGGACAGTTGAACTATGGTGAACGTAAATTAGCTGGACATTTGAACTATGGTGAACATACATTAGCAGGACAGTTGAACTATGGTGAACGTAAATTAGCTGGACATTTGAACTATGGTGAACATACATTAGCTGTACAGTTAAACTATGTTGAACATACATTAGCTGGACAGTTAAACTATGTTGAACATACATTAGCTGGACAGTTAAACTATGTTGAACATACATTAGCTGGACAGTTAAACTATGTTGAACATACATTAGCTGGACAGTTAAACTATGTTGAACATACACAGTTTAACGTCACATTTTTAGTCAATCGTAATTTAACGAAACATACTTGTGACCGATTAACATTATTTATGAATTTTAATATTAGGGGACCATCCATAAATGACGCCACGCACATTTTTGAACCCCCCCCCCCAAATCGTTACAATAAGTTAGAACCCCCCCCCAATCCAATATAACGTCACAAAGCTCCCCCCCCCTTAACCATTAAAAATATATATCTTTCCACTACTCTCCTTTACCCTAACCCATGACCCCCCCCCCAATCCAATATAACGTCACAAAGCTCCCCCCCCCTTAACCATTAAAAATATATATCTTTCCACTACTCTCCTTTACCCTAACCCATGACAATCGAATTATTGCTGCACCTGTGTCAGAAACATTTCCCTAGAACAGCGGTTCTTAAACAGCGGTGAAAGTGCGGAAGACTCAGAAAATAAATTTCATTTGCTGCCATTGCTAGTTGTTTCTGTCAGCAGTAAAAAGGGAAAAAGGGGGGGGGGGGTTAAATCCTTTATATCAACTTCGCTATTGTTGTGGGTGGCTGACTGATTGACTGGCTGGGTGGCAAAGTGATTCAACAACATTTCGGCTGACGCTTCAGTACCTAGTGGGATTCAACAGCTATTTGGCTGATGATGCAGTGCCCAGTGTGATTCAACAACATTAGCCATCCGAGTTCTTGTCATTTATGGAATCAAACTATTTTGGACGCTCAATCGAATTCGATTAACTATAATTTGGACAGAATGGTTTCCGTGGTCATGCTGTGCCCTTTGTGACACTGACACATTTTGTTTAATGACTGAAAAGCGTGCTGTAATCTACTGTTGAAGATGTAGAAGAGTACCCCATCGCTTTTCGGAGACTTTGTAGGCTGGACGTGAACGGCTGTGAGGTCAAAGTTCATAGGTTATAGTTTCGTGTAATAGGGGGGATCGTTTCCTTAACAATATTATGTTGGGCTTTCCAGACGGGGCAAAGAAATTTTCCAAATTAACAAGTGAGATCACATCTGGAGTTAGCACATTATGGTCATTAATGTTGGAGATGTGTGCAAATTTTATGGTTAAGGATGGATATCCCAGATGACGTATGCAAATTTTGGGGTCAATTATGGAAGTTCCTAATCAGCAGGAAATGAAAGGTCGAAGACAGGTTAGTTGTGACATGCTAGGACCTTCTGGAAGGTAGAAATAGAATGTTAGGTACAGTTTTTTGAGACATGGGGAGTTGAGTCAAAGACGTTAGCCGAGAAAGGAGAGTCAAGTTATAGAGTCGAGTTGGATTCAGTGATAGTCAGATCTAGGGACAGTCAACAGTGAGTGATAGTCAGACCTAGGGACAGTCAACAGTGAGTGATAGTCAGACATAGGGACAGTCAACAGTGAGTGATAGTCAGACCTAGGGAAAGTCAACAGTGAGTGACAGTCAGACATAGGGACAGTCAACAGTGAGTGATAGTCAGACCTAGGGACAGTCAACAGTGAGTGACAGTCAGACCTAGGGACCAGGGGGTCTAGATTCAGATACTTCACCAGTGGGTCTAGATATTTCACCAGTGGGTCTAGATACTTCACCAGTGGGTCTAGATACTTCACCAGTGGGTCTAGATACTTCACAGTGGGTCTAGATACTTCACCAGTGGTTGTAGATACTCACCAGTGGTTGTAGATACTTCACCTGTGGGTCTAGATACTTCACCAGTGGGTCTAGATACTTCACAGTGGGTCTAGATACTTTACCAATGGGTCTAGATCAGGCCTGCACAACTCAAAATGTCAGGTGGGCCAAAATCCTTTATGAAAAGCGTGTGCAGGCCAAAAGAAAATAGGACCGTGAAAAGCTATGAAGAAAGTAATAAGAATAAAGAATATTTCGTAAGTTCGCGGGCCGCAAAGATAATGCTGGCGGGCCGTATGTTGTGCAGGCCTGGTCTAGATAATGGGTCTGCAAACTTTTATTTCTACATAGGCCTGCAAGAAGATCTCTTTAGGTAGATACGGGGGTTGGACTAGTTGTACCAAAATCAAGATGGCCTACATGTTTGGTCTGAGCAACTCAACTTAAAACATGAATGAAATAGTGTTGAAGGGTTCACGGGAAAAACCAGTGATGTCAGTTTTTCAAAATTTCTATGTTATCTCCCTTGTGGCTACATTCCATTCAATAGAATAAAATGATACATAGGTCCAACTGAAAAAGCAGCGTAGTCAATACATAAATACGTAGACATCTTGATATTTTCATACTTTTATGAGGAATTTTCAGACTTTAAATTCAATTTTCTCAAAACTCTCAAAAGCTGACATCACTTTTTGAGCCCTTCAGTTGTATTCTTGTCGAAATGTAACACGATAACACGAATCAAGAAATTTTCAGTTTTTCTAACATAATAAATGTGTGTTATTTCTTAGCAACAAAAAAAAAAAGTACCCGGTCGTTGCTCCCATTGCTGGGACTTGAGCACTGCACCAAAGCCCCTTTTAATTCAGAATTATGTCATTGCCCAACTCAGTCATTAATACTGAACTTCATGATACACGCAGACAATAAACTTAGAAATACTAAAAATACACACGTGTACAAAAAAATCGTGGCAGGACTCATGACAATGATCAATGACATCAAATGTGTATTCTGTGAATCGAACAAACACTCATTAATCAAATAACCAATATATATATGTACATGTATTGAGAATGCGTTTAGAATAGGGAATTCCCAAAGACGTTAAGGCCCAACAAAAAATCTATACATAACGATCTGATGGCAGGTCACTTCCAGCTGACAATGGGGAAGAGTTTCCCTCCATCGTGGTTTCAGTGACAAGTCATTTCCAGTGAGCAGAGTTTCTCTCCATCAGGCATACGTTTCACAGGTCCCATCTATGTTGACATGATCCCTAGGACAGAGCCACGGATCATTGGTGGCGCGCTGCCAGGCTGCCAACTTATGCTGGAGCTCTTGCAGCGTCTGCTGGTAGCGACTCTCGTCTGCGACGTTCATCACCTGGTGTGGAAGAGGGCGCCGGGTGGTGACAGATATAAAGAGATGGTTACATGACCTGACCCTAGTATTACGGTCATTTTCTCAATTTTGGAGCGTTACGCTGTCCACGCAGTCACATTAGACCAATCCCACCATGAAACAGTATAAACGCCATCTTCACTTTGTAAACAGGGCTCGTTTTCCCGTAGGTTAAAATGTTACTTTTAGCTATCTTTTTAATAAGGGGTCATATTATGAGTCATATCTTAAATAAAATTGTAATATATAAGTAATATAACTATTGCTTTTAATGCCCTCTTCCGTTAAACTTGAAACTCTTATGTATGTCATGTCATGTATGTCATGTCATGTCATGTTATGTCATGTATGTCATGTCATGTCATTAGAGTTCGTCAAACAGCACGCCGGGATAACGCACGATTTTTTAGTCAATAAAGTTTTAGAGTAGAATATTTTAGGTTGGTTTTTGGGTGTTTCCCCCCCCCCCTTATTTCACAGATGGTCACAAATTCTCCCTATAAGCTTGGACCTGTACAATTTAGTTAAATGCGCTGCATAATAAAGCCCAGAAGCTTTAGCAAAAAATTATTTCAATCCTTTTCAAATCGCAACCAGTTATATAGAAGTAAAGTCACCATTACCATGAATTTTTTTTTTAAAGGCTTTTGAATGTAACATTTTTTTTAAATGAAAACATTAAAATATTCGCTTTATTGTCCACTAGTAATTAATGAGATATTTCATGTCCTGATTGAAACTGTGATTGTAATTGGATGACATATGTCCTGATTGAAACTGTGATTGCAATTTTATGACACTAATGAAGAAAGAAATCGTTAGTATCTTTTAGTCTATTGTTTCAGCCGCCGACATCGCAGAAATCCTGTCAAACCCCATTTGGGGTCACGACCCATGGTCCGTGAACCTGTGCTATAAAAACTGGGCTCTAGTAAAAACAAGGTCTTAAAACGTTAAACTGCCTTTATCACTTCCAGAAGCAACCTAATCAGTCATTTACATATTATATAGATACATGTG